CTGTAACCCACACAAGTATTCTCATCTTTCTCCCCACAGTATGAGAAAGCCTTCTCAGCTAGGTATCTGCAGAACTGGTCTCCTGCCAAGCCAACAAAAGAGGTATTTTATGTTCATTACCTCTATAAGGATAGTTTACAGTACTTTACAGTATGCCTACATACCTTATAATTCCCATGGCCTAATCCCTTTTAGCCTTGTTTAAACTTTAGCCCTCCCCAGGACCTTAATCCAAGCCCACCAGATATTCCTTTTTCCCCCTCCCTCTTTTTCATTTCAATAACTTCTCTCTCCCACCTTCACTACAGACAATTTCTCCCCAAGAAGGCTATACTCAGATTATTGCTGATGATCGAGGTCATCTGTTGCCTTCTGTGCCCCGTTCCAAGGTGAGATACAAATCTGGATTCCTATCAAGAAGGTAAAGAACTGAGGCATATAGCACTTGGCAGATTGTAGCCACTATTTAGAAAATTAAAGTTTAATCTAATTTTGTGGTAAGTAACCCAAACTTCCAGTTTTTTCAACAGAAGAGTTTGGTTTAACACACAAATCCTTAAAACTGATGAGTGATTCTTATCAACAAATGTTTGCAGGTGAGACATTTATGCACAGGACTCGTCACACTTACGCCAAGGATGCATATTAAGTCAGCAAAGGAGTGACTGCAAAACATGAGATTATGCTTTCAGCTTTGTTTCATGTTAAAAGTAACTGAGTTTTTTTTTCAGGGATGTGTGTTTTTATTTTATTGTGGTGCTGGGAATCAAACTCAGAGCAGCCTTTATGCTATGCAAGTATACTACTACTCAGCTAAAACCCCCAATTATCCTTATTTCATTATCAAGCACTCCCAAAGGTAAAGAATAGAAATAAACTGGGTACTACAGGTGCTCATAAATCCTAGCTACTTAGGAGGCTGAGATCTGAGGACCACAGTTTAAAGCAAGGAGACTCTCCAATTAATCACCAAAAAGTCAGACGTAAAGATTTGAATCTAGTGGTAGAGTACTAGCTGTGAGCAGAAAAATAGCTAAGGGACGTTGCCTAAGCCCTGAGTCCTAGCCACAGTACCAACACAAAAAGAAAAAGAAAAAAGATGGAAATAAGAAAACAAAAGTCCTCCAACAAGAAATCTCCTGGCCCTGTTGAGAAATCCCTTTTCCTTTCAGGCGAGTCCTTGGGGTTCTTTCATGGGCACCTGGCAAATGCCTCTGAAGATACCTCCTGCTCGCGTGAACTTGACCTCCCGGACAGCGGCTGGTGCTGCCTCCCTCACCAAATGGATACAGAAAAATCCTGATCTACTTAAGGCCTCTAATGGGCTTCAGCCTGAAATTTTAGGCAAGGTATCTATTCTTTCCATCTTAACCTCAAACCTTATTGTTCTCAACAAAGTGTAGTTATGCCACCTTTAGCCCAGTAGGGGAGCACTAGCCAATTGTTTTTTCCTGCCTACTCTTTAATCACTTTCTGAGGTCTGAAGCTATGAATTAATCTAATCTGAAGGGGAGGTTAAAGTTTAACTATTCTTGCAGGAAACATGTTTACAGTATGCGAATGGAGATAGAATTCTAAGGTGGATTGGGAGTAACCTGGGCTTGATAAGAAACATGATAGTCTCTCCCACTCTAACTTTAACCAGCCCAATGATCCAGACAATCAGAAGAAACTCAGGAAGGAGTCTGTCACGAAGACTGTACAGCAAGCATCAAGTCCAACCATAATTCCAAGATCCCCTACTATTGAAAATTCCCCAGATCATTCCCAAAGCTCACACCCTTCTGCAGGTCACACTCCAGGTCCCCAAAGCCCAATCAGCTCTCCTAAGAGCGTACCTGGAAGCCCCATGTGTGTGCTAGAACACTAAGCAGGTCTTTTATGTAGCCACAACCCAGAAATGCAAATCTACAACTTCAGGAGCTCAAGAGGCCACACTGAGAAAAATCTGTCTTGGAGAATAAAGAAGTAAGACTTAGGTCAGAAATGTGTAACAGAAAAGTTATAAAGACAAATTTGAACAATAAACATTGTTGAATCTTTTGCTGATCTGGATTTTCTCTTCCTGCTACACCTGCTGCTTATAAGTCATAATTAGGATTAGGGAAGGAAGGGGATGAGAGTTTGATAGGGGAGGGGTACATCGTGTGCATGGAAATGTCATAATGAAACACCCCTTTACAACTAATACATACTCATAAGAATGGGATGCAACTCATTTTTGTAAGGAGTGAGTCAGTTCCAACTCCAGAAATGACCAAGAAAAAAAATGATCTGAATTGAAGCAAAAGGGTAGAATCTCAAAGAACCAATCATTTACTCTCTCATTCTGACAATGGACAGCTTATAATTTAAAAACCAAAAGTAGGGATTGTTTACTAGAATATATGCATGTGTTTAGAGAAGAAAGAAAAGGTATGGAAAACCAATGTAGAAGACAAAAATCTAAACAAAATATAAAAACAAGATATGGGGCTGGGAAGGTGGCTCAGTGGTAGAGTGCTTGCCTCACATGCATGAGGCCCTGGGTTTGATTCCTCAGCACCACATACACAGAAAAAGCCAGAAGTGGCGCTGTGGCTCAAGTGGTAGAGAGCTAGCCTTGAGCTGAAGAGCTGAGGGACAGCGTCCTGCCCAGAGTTCAAGCCCCATGGACCAACAAAACAACAAATAAAAATAAATAAAAAGTAAGTTATTTAAGAAAAAAAAGATATGGAAGAAGACAGAAGAAAAATCAAGATGACAAGTATTTCTACTTTTTATCCTAAATTTCTTTTGGATAGAAATGAATTCATGCTCTTCTACTATCCTCTTCCTTCAGTAACTGGCATAGTAAGAAGCAATCCCCAAAGCCAGAAAGTCCTCTATCCCTTTCCCAGGGTCCTATTTATCATTGGCCATACTCTGCATCTTCCTGTTAAATTTAATGCCCTTTCCTAGTCTCAATATCAGTGTTCCCTCTGAACACTTGTTCCTCAAACTATAGGATACAGTTGATGGCTATCAGACTTCCTAGGGCCAGTCTAGCAAAAAAGGGGAAGTAAGCATTACTTAAAGACTTTGGGAACTGGATAGACTAGTGGGATAGTAGATCCCATTGTCTTAGCTTATATGACTCTTTCCAACTGACAGTGAATTAGTTACTACTTCTCTTCAACCCAGAAACCCAGTTTTTTTTTTTTTGGGTCCGGTTGTGGGGCCTGAACTCTGGGCCTGGGCGCTGTCCCTCAGCTCTTCAGCCCAAGGCTAGCACTCTACCACTTGAGCCACAGCGCCACTTTCGGCTTTTTTCTTATGTGGTGCTGAGGAATAGAACCCAGGGCCTCGAGCATGCAAGGCAAGTGCTCTACCACTGAGCCACTTTCCCAGTCCCAGAAACCCATAGTTTTAACAAGTTTTACCACCAACTCAGAGTGACAAGTGGTTACTTTTACTCCTGAGTAGGCAAGACTATGAAAACTGTACTCCTATCAAGGGCTTTAGGGACCCAGTAGCGTGGCTTATACGATTATAAAAATACCAAGTTTTAGCCAGGTGCTGGTGGCTCACGCTTGTAATCCTAGCTACTCAGGAGGCTGAGATCTGAGGATCATGGTTCAAAGCCAGCCCAGGCAGGAAAGACCCTGAGATTCCTATCTCCAATAAACCACAAGAAAACCGGAAGTGGCACTGTAGCTCAAGTGGTAGTGCTCGCCTTAAGCTGACGAGCTGAGGGACAGCGCCCAAACCCAGAGTTCAAGCTCCATGACTGACCAAAAAAAAAAAAAAAAAAGTACCAAGTTTTCTCATTATAATTTGCTAGGATTTCAATAATCTCTTTTTTTCTTAATCTCCATTCATCTTTATCTTCAAATCATCTCTTTGCTGGTCATCACCCCTTAGCTGTCACTTCTCACTGGATAATTTGCTGAACTATATCATGAGGCATATATCAGCTCTCGATGGGATTTTGGAGCCTGTAGTAACTCTAATGCTCTCAATATGTTTAACTTCCCTTCTCTTTCTCCGGCTTGTGATTGATACTCAAATCTCTGGCTACTTATATTTAATCCTCTAAAATTTTTCTTTTTTTGGGTCCGGTCGTGGGGCCTGAACTCTGGGCCTGGGCTCTGTCCCTCAGCTCTTCAGCTCAAGGCTAGCGCTCTACCACTTGAGCCACAGTGCCACTTCTGGCTTTTTCTTTTTGCTTATGTGGTGCTGAGGAATCGAACCCAGGGCCTTGAGCATGCAAGGCAAGCGCTCTACCACTGAGCCACCTTCCCAGCTCCCCTCTAAAATTTTTCTTGTGGTCATTTATATGACAAACTTTCCCCTGGGAAAGTTTATACTGAGGGATACCTGAAACCCAAAGGAGGGGGAGGAAATTGGTTACTCCCCAGCAGCCATCCTTTTGGTTTCTCTAGAAAAAGAGAGTCAAAGATAAAATTAGTTCTTTAATTGAAGTTTTAGAAAAAGTTGGTACATGAATTTGGATTAGAAAACATGACACCAAGAGTTTTATTTTTCCAGAAATAGAAAACAAAAATGCAAGAGTAATTTCTGGGTCTTCTTGCATCGAACTTATATGTCTTTTTTCCAAAGCCTCAGCTCTAAGTAACAACTCTTTATCTTGCTCTAGGTGGGCCAGGATAATTCCCCTCCACCCCCATCTCCCTTCTTTCAATTACACTATGTGGGTGCTAAAGGCCTTGGACTCTGACCAATGAGCAGAACTGTCCTTTAAACAAGCAACCCACAGGCAGTGGCACCCAAAGCCTTTCCCCCAGTCCCCAGGCAGCCACAGAGATGGCATTGTTTCCACTGTCTCAGGAAGAAGAAACTAAAAGCTGACTCTCAGCACAAATTAGAGCCCAATATAGAGAGGGAAAAATGGTTCCTAGGCCTAGTGTAGGCTATAACCTGTGGGCAGAAAAAGAGAATTTTTACAGCTACTGTTAGAAATGAAGGGAAATTGCACCTTTTCTACTCTAACAAGCCTAAAGGGAATTTGCAAAAAGAACTAAACAAGTCAGAAGACCTTTATTGGCAGGAGGTGAGTGACAAACAGGAAGATAAATTGGTATAATAATTTTCAGGAAGACAATGATGGGAACTTCAGATCTTCACATGGCTGCCAGCCCTAGAGAGCACAACACAGTAAGAACCAAGACAGCTGCTCCAGACTGGTAGAGCTGGGGAATCTTCAGGCCCTTTCCTAGGTCCCATGTCTGCAGAAAAAGGAAAAAAAAAATTTTTTTTTTCTAGTAATTAAGACACTTGTCATTCCTACAGCTCCTTTCTAAGAAAGGAATTCTTTACCTAATAAAATAGGTACCTCTGTGTGATTATAAAGAATATCCCACCTTTGCCTTTCTCAAAACCCACAATATAATACCTTTACCCATTTATCCTAAAGACAAAATCAAGTCCTATTATGTGATAGTGATAGAGGAGTATTTACTGCAATACCACAGACCCTACATAAAGAAGCTTCTAGACTGAACTGATAAAACTTCTTTTCAGGGGGCTGGGAAGTTCGCTCAGTGGTAGAATGTTTGCATTTCATGCATGAAGCCCTGGGTTTGATTCCTCAGCACCACAAAAGCAGAAAAAAGCCGTAAAGTGGTGCTGTGGCTCAAGCGGGTAGGGCGCTAGCCTTGAGCTGAAGAGCTGAGGAACAGTGCCTGGGCCCAGAGTTCAGGCCCCACGACTGACAAAAAAAACAGAAACAAAAAAACAAACAAACAAAAAAACAAACCAAACTTTTTTTCAGTGCTCTTAGCCCTTGTAAGGGTGAAGCAGGAAGATCAAGTTTAACCTGGGTTACACAGCAAGATCATTTAAAAAATCCAAAAACAAAACAAAAACAACCTTTTGAATTTGTGCCCCCAAACTTAATTCTGAATACTGCTATTATAAGGCATTATATGAGGTTAGGAAAAGTTGTGGTCATATAAATTTGGTAAATATTTCACTATAAGATTCTCAAAACAGGGCTGGGAAGGTGGCTCAGTGGTAGAGCACTTGCCTTGCATGCTCGAGGCCCTGGGTTCGATTCCTCAGCACCACATAAGCAAAAAGAAAAAAGCCGGAAGTGGCGCTGTGGCTCAAGTGGTAGAGCACTAGCCTTGAGCTGAAGAGCTGAGGGACAGCGCCCAGGCCCAGAGTTCAGGCCCCACGACCGGACCCAAAAAAGATTCTCAAAACAGCCAGGCACCAGTGGCTTATGCCTGTAATCTGAGGATCATGGTTCAAAGCCAGCTTGGGCAAAGAAAGTCCATGAGACTCTTATCTCCAATTAACTACCAGAAAACCAAAGTGGCACGGTGGCTCAAGTGGTAGAGCATTTGCCTTAAGCTGAAGAGCTCAGGGACAGCGCCCAGGCTCAGAGTTCAAGCCCCACCACCGACCAAAAAAAAAGATACTCAAAACATGGGACTGGGAATATGTTTGCCTAGCATGCATGAAGCCCTAGGTTCAATTCCTCAGTACCACAGAAACATAAAAAGCTGGAAGTAGTGCTATGGCTCAAGTGGTAGAGCACTAGCCTTGAGCAAAAGAAGCTCAAAGACAGTGCCCATGCCCTGAGTTCAAGCCCCAGGACTGGCAAAAGAAAGAAAAAAATTCTCAAAACCAATTATGGTGCATCCTGTGAGTCTCCAAAAAGAGATAGTGTTTATGATATATTGAGTTATAGAATTCCTTTCTAGTGAGAATACCTATCAGAGGATTACTATTTTTTTTGTTTTTTTTTGGGTCCAGTCGTGGGGCCTGAACTGTGGGCCTGGGCGCTGTCCCTCAGCTCTTCAGCTCAAGGCTAGCGCTCTACCACTTGAGCCACTGCGCCACTTCCAGCTTTTCTTCTTGCTTATGTGGTGTTGAGGAATCGAACCTAGGGCCTCAGGCATGCAAGGCAAGCGTTCTACCACCTTCCCAGCCCCAGAGGACTACTATTTTAAAAAATGTTTTTGAGGATCTAAAATACTTTTTCAAAAAAAGTTTTTTCTTTTGAGATGGAAACTTGTTATGTTGCTCCTAAGCAGATTCAAACTAGGTTCAACAGATCCTCCCATGTCAGCTTTCTGAACAGCTGAACTATGGGACTATAGGCACTCACCACCAATGACCAACTCTCAATTTTGACTATGATCATACCAAAATTTAAAAATCTTTTAAATTAGAACCTAGCAGAAATACAACAAAAGTTCATGAAACAATAAAAAACATTTACCACTATTAATTTGTGCTACATTCTATATTTTCTATCTTTTTGTGTGTGTGGGGGTACTGATGTGTTTGAATGTGGAGCCTTATACTAACTAGGTAGGTGCTCTACCATTAAGCCATGCCTTCACCTTTTTTGTACTAGTTATTTTTGTGAGACTCTTTTCTTTCCTTTTCTCCCTGCCCCACCTCCTCTTTTTTTCCTTTTGTCAGTTGTGGGGATTGAACTCAGCGCCTGATGGGTGAGCTTCTTCATTCAAGGCTAGCACTGTACCATTTTGAGCCACAGCACCACTTCTGGTTTTCTGGTGGTTAATTGAGATAAGAGTCCCACAGAATCTTCCCTGCCTGGGCTAGCTTTGAACTGTGATCCTCAGATCTCAGCCTCTTGAGTAGCTAGGGTTTACAGGCATGAGCCACTGTGCCTGGTACTCTTTCTTTGTGCTGGTACTAGGGCCTGAACTCAAGGCATAGGTGCTGTCCCTTACCTTTTTTGCTCAAGGTTAGTGCTCTTCAACTTGAGTCACAGCTCCACTTCTGGCTTATTTTTGTTAGTTAGTTGGAGTTAAGAGTGTCATGGACTTTCCTACCTGGGCTGACTTTAAATCTTGATCCTACCTCAGCCTCCTGAGTAGCTAGGATTACAACAGGTATGATCCACCAGCACCTAGCTGTACTAGTTAATTTTGAGATAGGATCTCATTTTTGATTTCATAAGCACCTGGGCCAAGAGATCTACCTATTTTAGGCTTCCAAAGTAGCTGACCTGACAGCTTACTCCTGTTGAGATGGAGTCTTGCAGTCGGGTGCCGGTGGCTCACAGCTGTAATCCTAGCTACTCAGGAGGCTGAGATCTGAGGATCATGGTTCAAAGCCAGCCCGGGCAGGAAAGTCCATGAGACTCTTATCTCCAATAAACCACTAGAAAACTGGAAGTGGCACTGTGTTTGAACATGGAGCCTTATACTAACTAGGTAGGTGCTCTACCATTAAGCCATGCCTTCACCTTTTTTGTACTAGTTATTTTTGTGAGACTCTTTTCTTTCCTTTTCTCCCCGCCCCATCTCAGCGCTGAAGAGCTGAGGGACAGCGCCCAAGCCCAGAGTTCAAGCTCATGACCGACAAAAAAAGAAATGGAGTCTCATAAACTTTTCTGTACAAGATGTCCTGAAACAACCATCCACACTGTCTCAGCTTCCTATGCAGCCGAAATGATAGGCAAATGCCACCATGCCAAGCTATTGGTTGAGCAAGGGCAAAGGCTTTCCTAGACTAGCATCAAATCCCTATCTTCCTATTTTAGCCTCCCAAGCAGTTGGGATTATAGGTGTGGACCATCAGCCTTACTTAAATTTCTTTCTTTTTTTATTGGTAGCAACCCATAAATTGACTTTCAACCCACTGGGTAAAAACCCACATTAAAAAAAAAATACTAGCCTCTCTTGTTCTACAAACATATTAACATCTAAGCATTTTGCCCTGCCTGACTCCTTGTGCAGAAGTGAAGTCTTCAGGTTCCATACATACAACACACACCCAAATTTCCACATCCTGATTATAAGTAGTGACTAAATTAGCACCCATTTCAGAGAAAAGTTGGCAGGAGCCTGGAGGAAAAAAAGAAAGAAAATATTCCCATCTCAGCCTCTAATTAATTTCTACCTAGATCAAATTGAGTCAAACAAATTTCACAAAGAGCAGTTTTGCTTATATAGGCATAGTGTATTTTTAAAATCAGCATTCATTGGTATGCTAATTGGGGGTTTCATGTGACATTTCCACACGGAGAGGCACAGTAATTTTGTCATGTCCAATTAACCAGCAAAAAGCCAGAAATGGAGGTATGGCTTAAGTGGTAGAGCATCAGACTTGAGTGAAAGAGCTAAGGCATGGCACCCTAATCCTGAGTTCAAACCCCAGTGTCAGCCAAAAAAAAAAGAATGGAAAAAAGAAACAGTTTGGCTGGGCACTGATGGCTCAGGAATTTGAGATCCATCCAGAGAGCCAACCCATGTGGAAAAGACTCCATCTCCAAAAAAGCCAGGGTAGAATATATCTCAAATATAGAGCAAGTCATGAGCAAGTGTGAGCCCTGAGGTAAAATACCAGCACTGGTAAGAAAAAAAAAAGAGTCATATTGGGTGTTAGTAGGAGAGAAGAGTCTGTAGAATGCCTTAAAATCTTTCTCTTTTACATTCACACTATTCTTCATACCTGTTAGATCTTCTAGTAAGGCAACTTCAGAGGCCTCAAATTTCTGAAACAGTTAAAATCTGACCCATACCTAGAGCTAATATTTATTAGAAGAAAAAAGAAAAAGAGACTTAAGGGCTTAAGTAAAGCCTTTAGGTTCCTCACTTCTCTCAACAAAGAGAATATTATTAGCAGCAACCAGAGCAAAAAAGCTTGAGTCTAGGATTTTGTAAACTGACCTTCTCCAAAACCCCAAATTGAGACAAAAGCAAATACAAGGCAAGTTCCTGCCTGGACAGAATTGAACAGAGGAAGCTCAGCAGCTGATTTTTTTTTTTTTTTAAAGATAGCTTTGTTTATAGAATAATGTCTTCTATCTCCACTTCCTTCTCCCTTTCAGAAAAGTGAAAAGTCCTTTTAAGTCAAACTCAACACTGCTCATGGGAACCACTAATAAACATAATTTAATGGGTCACTTGGTCTCACTTTGTTTTTCTTCTATGAAACTGTCGATTGGAGAGGACCAAAATCCATAAAGTACATGTCTCTAAAGCTCCTATGTGGAAGCTATAAAAGGTTAAATCAGGACAAAAGTATCCATCTGACAGGTGGCTCAGGTTCAGAAGTAATAGGAAACTAGAAAACAAAATTTTTAATTGTTTTCCTGGGGAAGAATGCAAAGTTATAGGTAACGAAACTACAAAATATGTAATCTTAAAAAAAAAAATAACATCTGGAGGAGGGACTAACCTTTGACTCAGGGCATGTTTATTTCAGTTTTAATTCCTTTATAAAGAGAAAAGATGCCAAGTGAAGTGGTTCATGTCTGTAACTCCTTTGGGTGGGGGGAAAAATTGTGATTTCAGCTAAGAGATGGAAGATTGCAATTGAAGACCAGCCAGGGCAAATAAAACAATTAAAAATTCAAAAAACTGCAACATTATATCTCAACTGAATAAAAAAAAATACTGGGTATGCACTAGTTTTTACACCTCTCATCCCTGCTTCTCAAGAAACATAAATAAGAAGATAGAAGTACAGACTGGCTTCAGCAAAAAGTGAGACTGTTCAAAGAATAACTAAACTAGCCAGGCACCAGTGGCTCACATCTATAATCCTAGCTACTCAAAAGGCTGAGATCTGAGGATCATGGTTCAAAACCAGCCTGGGCAGAAAAGTCCAGATGCAGAGCTATGGCTCAAGTGGTAGAGCACTAGTCTTAAGCAAAAAGTCCCATGACTGGCATAAAAACAAAGAATAACTAAAGTGGACTTGAGGTGTGGCTCAAGTGGTAGAGATTCAGTTGTTAGCCCCCCCCCCCAAAAAAAAGCCTATAGAGCACATATAGCTATAAGTTCAAATCAGGTATCAGCAAAATAAATAAATAAATGTAAGCCTTAAGTTCAAACAGAGAGAGAGAGAGAGAGCACGTGACTAACACTAAGGTAATGTATGAACAACATACACTGATAGATTCGAAATCAAGATCAAAAGCTAGGATCCGTAGTATTATCTATTAAAGTATTGGCTTTTTCTCCAGTCATTCAAAAGAAATAAAAATAGTTAATACAATATAATGTTAAGACAACAAAAGTTAAAAAGACAAAGGTTATTATAGTTTCGTATTCAGTCAGATTTATCACTGAGTTGACAGAAATATTAGCCTGAAAGCAGTTCTATGTGGCTCATAACAGAATTACCAATGTTTAGAATAGTGTTTAACACATAATAGCTATCAGTTCATATTTACTTAATAAATATGTCTTCTATGCTTAATAAATGATCTAGTTTCAGGAGTATCTTTTAGTAACATCACTCAACATTGGGAGAGTTCATGCTGACACACTGAAGCATCTGCTTGGCTTATACCTATTAAGAAATAGAGGAGGGATCTTTCCCTAAGAACACCTGAAGTAAAAGTCTTTCACAACTCTCCTCAGAACAGCTCTAAGGATTAAAGGTATACCTGAGAGGTACAATATAGGCTTTTTTTTGTTTGTTTGGTCCATATTGGGGCCTGAACTCTGGGCCTGGGTTGTGTCCCTCAGCTCTTCAGCTCAAGGCCAGAGCTCTACCATTTGAGCCTCAGCACCCCTTCTGGCGTTTTCTGTGTATGTGGTGCTGAGGAATCGAACCCAGGGCCTCATGCATGCAAGGCAAGCACTCTACCACTGAGCCACCTTCCCAGCCCCAGGCATAGGCTTAACATATATGAAACTCTAGGTTGAATACTCATTACACACACACACACGCCTTAAAAATATCACACACACACACACACACACACACACACATGCCTTAAAAATCAGCAATGAAGTAAAGTCCTCCCTCATACTGTGGCCTTCTTTCAGAAAATGTACAAATCCAAATTTAACTTACCAAATGTCGAATCCCATTCCACATGTGATATGAGAGAGGCAAAGCAAGTACAAACTTAGCTGTATAGATCAGTGTTGGCCCCAGATTCAGCGACTTCAAAAATTCCAAATAAGTCTCAAAGTTCCAAGGCAGCACCAGTGATGACAAGCCAACAAGAGAGATCACTGAGGAGAAAAGCAAGGAGCCTATCACAACACCGGTTACAACAAGTATGAAGTGTAAAAGTGGGCTTCTAGGACAGCTGCTGGCACCTTATATAATTCTAAACCACTTTTCTTTCCCTATTTAGAGAATACAAGTTTTCATAATCTAAACCCACAAACGATAGACCTTTTATTTTGAATGAACCCTGTACAAATAGAAAAAAAATAACATTTAACATTTCTATACCAATAGAGCCATTAATTTCTGTTCAATGCCAACTCAACACAAGATACTTTTTTGTTATTGTTGTTGGTCATGGGGCCTGAACTCTGGGCCTGGACACTGTCTCTCAGCTGACTTCAGCTCAAGGCTAGCGCTATACCACTTGAGCCATAGCACCACTTCCAGCTTTTTCTCCTTATGTGGTGCTGAGGAATGGAACCCAGGGCCTCATGCATGCAAGGCAAGCACTCTACAACTGAGCCACCTTCCCTGCCTCTAGGATACTTTTTTAAAAAGCTGGTATCATAGCTAAAATTTCCTAAAGTTCAAATTATATATATGTGTGTATGCATTATATAATATATATTATGTAATATATAGCATACAACTATATGCCACATGTAATATATAACACATGTATCATGCAGTATATTACATATGAAATATAACTATAATTATTCATTGTAACTATATAACATATGCACATACACTATTTTATAGAACATAAATAGCATATATATCTCATATAAAGTATATTATATGTAGTTATATATAACTCATGTAGATTATATATAATGTACATATAACTCATATGTGAGTTATTTACAACTTACATATAAACATGTATATATACTTTGTTATATAAGTACACATATAACTTTAGATATATAACATACATACTTATATATGTAAATATACACATTATATTTAAGTATACATATGTATATATATAGAGAGAGATATGACCAATAGCAGCATGTTATAACATCAATAGTAGCAAGAGCTTTTCCATGTTCTGAAGTCAACTGAACATAATTCTACAGACATTTAGCACATTCCATCAAAAAAATAAAAGCTGGGTGGATTAGCCAGGTGCTGGTGGCTCACACCTGTAATCCTACTTAGGAGAGGCTAAGATTTGAGGATTGAGGTTCAAAGCCAGCCTGGGCCGGAAAGTCCATGAGATTCTTATCTCCAATAAACTACTCAGAAAAAGGGAAGTGGGGTTATTGCTCAAGTGGTAGAGTGCTAGCCTTGAGCTGAAGAGCTGAGGGACAGTACCCAGGCCCAGAGTTCAAAGCTCCATGACTGACAAAAAAAAAAAAAGCTGCGTGTCAGTGGCTCATGTCTATAATCTTACCTACTCAGGAGGCTGAGATCTGAGGATCGCAGTTCAAAGTCAGCCTGGGCAGAAAAATCTCTTGTCTCCAATAAACTACTTAAAAAGACCAAGAAGTATTGCTGTGGCTCAAGTGGGAGAGTGCTATTCCTGAGCATAAAGAGGGTCAGGGAAAGAACCCAGGCTGAGTTTAAGTCCCAGAATAGGCAAAAGAAAAATGAAACACACTCTTTACCTGGCTTCTATAACTGTAAAACTCCTCTGTACATCACCATTACAACATAAATTTTGTATAAGAAGACTTAAATATTGTAAGTAAACTATAAAGCCTTCCTTTAGCAGAAAAGCATAGGACTAAATCTTGATCTTGGATTAGGCATTGGTTTCTTAGATATAATACTAAAACCATAAGTGATAAACAGAAGAATTAGACTTCATCAAAATTAAAAACTTTTGCCCTGGAAATAGTTTTACTAAGAAGACATGTTTAGGCATAACCAATGGGAATGGGAGAAAATACTTGCAAATCATGTATCTGATGCGTGATTTTTTTAAAAAGCATATGCAGACATTTAATAAGTGATGATTTTGAGATCAAGGAAAGAAGCAGGATTAGGCAGTTAGGGAACTTCATAAAGAATATTATAGGGCCAGGTGCCAGTGGCTCATGCCTGTAATCCTAGCTACTCAGGAGGCTGAGATCTGTGGATCACAGTTCAAAGCCAGCCCGGGCAGGAAACTCCGTAAGACTCTTATCTCCAATAAACCACTAAAAAACCAGAAGTAGGGGCTAGGAAGGTAGCTCAGTGGTAGAGCGCTTGCCTTGCACGCATGAGGACTTGGGTTTGATTCCTCAGCACCACATAAGCAAAAAGAAAAAAAGCTGGAAGTGGCGCTGTGGCTCAAGTGGTAGAGTGCTAGCCTTGAGCTGAAGAGCTGAGGGACAGCGCCCAAGTCCAGAGTTCAAGCCCCATGACCGACCAAAAAAAAAAAAAAAAAAGAGTGTAACTCATTAGAAGGTAGGAGGATTAAACATTTCTGAGGTGACAACTCTGACAGAAAGTGACTTATGTGTGTATCTTATATGTTTACTAACTGAAATTTAGAATTTGTTTAGCAAATTTGCTAAGCAAATCTTTGTGTGCTAGAGGGTATAAATGGTAAATAAGATGAAGTACACACACTCTGAAGAGTTTACAGTATGATTAAAGATATAAAATTTAGAAGTTAGAAAAACTGTGTGATAAAAGCTGTGAAAGAAACAACCAATATAATGAACTACAAAGGACTAGTTCTGCGAAATAGAAAAGTAACAAGGAAAATATTGTTTTAGATAAGATGGGAAGCAAAGTACTCTGAGTTGACAATTTTGTTGACATCTGAAAGACTGGAAGAACTAACAAGGCAAAAGGTTGGATGGGCATTTCAAATCAAGGGAATCATGACTGACACCTCCTCACACACACAAAAAATTGTTCAAATAAAGGGACAAAAGTATACAACGGCTCTGAAGTGGAAGAGTTTCGCCTGTTTCAAGAATTCAGAGATCAGTATAAGAAGAATGGCAGAAATGGCCAGATATGGCAGAGCAAAAGCCATACATTTTGAAATTTCTTCACACACACACATACAGACACACACAGACACGCACACACACACCTCTTTTGTGTGTGTGAGTGCTGGGGCTTGAACTCTGGGCCTGGGCACTATCCCTGAGCGTCTTCTTTTTTTTTTTTTTTTTTTTAATTTTTATTGTGAAAATACTGTACAGAGGGGTTACAATTACATAGGCAAGGTCCCTGAGCTTCTTTTGCTCCAGGCTAGCACTCTATCACTAGAGCCACAACTCCACTTATGCCTTTTTCAGTGATTAACTGGAGATAACAGTTTACAGACTTTCCTGCCCCAGCTAGCTCTGAACCATGATCCTCAGATTTCATTCTCCTGAGTAGCTAGGATTACAGGCATGAGCCACCAGTACCAAGAGCTAAAATATTTTATTTTTTAGCCAGTCCTGGAGCTTGAACTCAGGGCATGGGCACTGTCCCTGGGCCTCTCTGTGCTCAAGGCTAGCACTCTACCACAAGCCACAGCACCACTTCTGGCCTTTTCTGTTTATGTGGCACTGAGGAATCGAACCTAGGGCTTCATGCAGGCTAGGCAAGCACTCTATCACTAAGCCACATTCCCAGCCCTGCTAAAATATCCCCCCCCCAATCCCTTCCCCCAGTCCTGCGCTTGAACTCAGGGCTTGGATGCTGTCTCTGAGCTTCTCTGGCTCAAGGCTAGCACTCTACCACTTGAAAAATATTTTTGAAACAAGGCCTAACTATGTAGCTCAGATGGACCTTGAACTCTTCTTTTTTTTTCCCTGTCAGTCCTGGAGCTTGAACACTGAGCCTGGGCACTATCCCTCAGCGCTTCAGCTCAAGGCTACCGCTCTACAACTTGAGCCGCAGCACCACTCCGGCTTTTTCTGGGTATGTGATGCTGAGGAATCAAACTCAGGGCCTCATGCATGCAAAGCAAGCACTCTACGTCTGAGTCACCTTCCCAGTCCCAGACCTTGAACTCTTGATCTTCCTGTTTTAGCTTTCTAAATTCTGGGATTATAGCCATATATTACTATACCTGAATGAGATCTGAATTTCAATCTAAGTAAAATGGTAAATGAAGTCACTGGAAGATTGTTAAGTAAGAGAGTAAGATGATCCCTTTTTTTGGTCAGAGGTAGGGCTTGAAGTTAGGGTCTGGGCGCTGTCCCAAAGCTTTTGTTCAAGGCTAGTGCTCTACTACTCTGAACTACAGCTACTTCCTTTTGTTTGTTTTTGTTGAGTGGTTAATTGGAAAAGTCTCAGGGAAAGTTTCCTGGCTGGGCTGACTTCTAATGGCAATCCTTAGATCTCAGCCTCCTGAGGATTTAGAGGTGTGAGCCACTGTGTCCAGCTGATTCCACTTATTTTCAAAAGATTTTTTTTTTCTTGCTGTGCATGAAGGATGGGAATAAGGCTAAAAGGAAGATTGCAGCTGCTGAAACTGACTTCATTTCATATACTATCCCCTTTTTCTGTGTGCTAGTGCTGTGGCTTAGGTGCTGTCTCTGAGCTTTTTTGCTCAAGGCTGGTGCTCTACCATTTGAACCACAGCTCCACTTCCAGCTTTTTGGTGGTTAACTGTCTCAGCTGGCTTCAGACCATGATCCTCAGATATATCAGCCTCTTGTGAAATATACCCATACTATGCAGAGATACATATCACATTTCAGAAACCTGATTATCTACCTGTATTGTATTCCATGAAGTAAACCTTTCTACCTGAAAAGGATATACTCATCATCTAACATCGCTATTTTATTTCAATCTTTGTTCTCTTTAATTTTCATAAATATAGTATCAGTAACTTCTACTAAATGAGGAAAATATCTGCTAACAAAGAATCTGAGCATAATGGGAATTCATGATAAGGATCCATCATTCTGAGTTGCTGAGTAGTAAAGGAGTCAGTGACAAGCCACAGAAACAGTTGTTCTTCAAAAAAGTATACATACAAACATATATGTGTATATTTAAAAATATACATACATACCTCCACTCATGGCTATACCAGTGCCACGGTGGAAAACAGACATCACCATGGGAAGAGACCACCTACAAAGAAAATACAAAGTCAATTTTACACAGGAAAAGATGGGCTGGGCACAGTGGCTCACACCTATAATACTAAATACTGGAAAGGTGGAGATCAGGATGGTTATGAGGTTAGGCAAAAAATGATCAAGAATGTACCTCAATTATAGTTAGGCACAGTGGCACACACCTGTCATCCTAGTTAAGTGGGGAAATGTAAATGGACAAGCATTGTCTAGGCTGTCCTGGGCAAAAATTAAAGAACCTGTCCCTAAAATAATGGAAACAAAAAGGACTGGGGTCCTGGCTCAAATGGTAGATTGCCTGACAAGTGTGAGAACATGAGTTCAACCTCTAGTACTACAAGAAAAAAAAGAAAGAACAAAAAAGATATATCTATAGAGAAAGGTCCATCTTCACAAAGGAAATATAATTTTGAATAGTTTTTTGTGGTTTTTTTTGTTTGTTTTGGTTCTGGGGCTTGAACTCAGCGCCTGGACACTGTCCCTGAGCTTTTTTTCTTCAAGGCTAGCATTTTACCACTTGAGCCACAGCTCTGCCTCCAGTTGTTGTTTTGTTTTATTTTGTTTTGTTTTTGGTGCTTAATTGGATAGGAGTCTCATGAACTTTCCTACCCGAGCTGGCTTTGAACCATCATTCTCTCGGATCTCAGCCTCCTGAGTAGCTAGGATTACAGGCATAAGCCACTGGTGCCCCACCAACGTCCTGTTTTTAAAAAACAAAAATACTTTCACATTCCTTTATTTCCCTTTTCTAATTTGAAAATAAATAATTGGACCAGGAGCATGGCTCAGTAGCAAAATGCTTGTCTAGCATGTGTTAGGCCTTGGGTTTAATCCCCTGGTGCAGGGGGTGGAGGAGAAGAAAACTAATTTATTTAAGGAGAAATGTCTCTCCCTTTTTACAAGACTATGTAAGTGTTAGAGCCTAGAAGCAGGAATAATCATAACTCAAAAGTCCCTTCAAAAGGACAAACAACATGGTTCACCATGACACCAATTAAAGTTGGTAAAATTACAAAGTAATCTCTAGATCTTAGCTGAATATGCTGTGGAGTGGGGAGGACCAGAGAGAGAGACAGGGAACACTTATTACAAGAATATGTCCACTTGGGTTCTTTTGTTCTACAGTCATAAAGGCAAGCCAAAACACAAATTTTATTTATCCATGATTTCATAGAACACACAAGTCTTTTTAGTTTCTTTCATTCTCGGTGCTACTAGGACTTGAACAGAGGCCTCACACTTGGCAGGCTGGCATTCTCCCATTTGAGCCATGTACCAGTCTTGCTTTTTTTCTAGCTAATTATTTTGGAGATGGAGTCTAGCAAACTTTTCTGCCCAGGCTGGCCCCAAACCTTTAGACCTTAGCCTCCTGAGTGGCTAAGATTATAGGTGTAACCATAAGCTATATAAAAGAGTATCTCAGGGGGCTGGGAAGGTGGCTCAGTGGTAGAGCGCTTGCCTTGCATGCCTGAGGCCCTGGGTTCGATTCCTCAGCACCACATAAGCAAAAAGTAAAAAGCCAGAAATGGCGCTGTGGCTCAAGTGGTAGAGTGCTAGCCTTGAACTGAAGAGCTGAGGGACAGCACCCAGGCCCAGAGTTCAAGCCCCACAACCGGCCCTCCCCCCCTCCCCCCCCCCCCCAAAAAAAAAAAGACAGATCTCAACTATGTAGCCTAGGTTGGCTTGAACTCATTATGTAGCACTCAGGCTGATCTCAACTCAGGATCCTCTGCCTAAGCCTCCCAGGTCCTAGAATTATAGGCATGCCCAACTGTTGTGTCCTAAAATATCTACACTGAATACATTACATTGCTGGATTTAGTATACATTTCCTTACCTATGGTGGTCTTACATACTTTGTCATCAAATCCCTTTTTAAGATTACAAACCACCAATTTTCCAAAGCATTTTCATAGGAGGTCAACCAATATATTGTTAATCTAGTCCCAGTTCTCATGCTCAAGAGAATTAGTTGGTAAAATAGAGTAAGAATTTTTGGGGATGGTTGCCATTTATTTGGAAAATCAGTTTACACAGGGAATATTAAACATAATTGTACTCCGCACTTTAAAAAGAAACAAGGTTAAAAGGAACTCAAAAATCCTACCTACATGAAAGTAGTGTTAGTAAAAAAAGAATAATGTTCAAAGAAAAAAAGGACAAACAACTAGCTAGAAACCACTCTGACACATTTAATGGGATAAATATAAAAGGTAATAGGTAAAACTCATATAACCAAAGACAATTAGAAAATAATGACATAATTTGGTAACTCAGAATCAGGATACTAAAACCCAGAATGAGCTAAGACCTTGCAAAAATGTCAAAACAACCAAAAGTCGGCTTCTGGCCATGGTGGGCAAAGGAAGAAGGTGCTATGGTCCCCAGGTGCCAGCTGGAAGACATGAACATGGCAGAGCATGGCAGGCCTTTGGCAGCAGCTCCCAGGCACGAGTATCCTGTCTTGTCTCCTTCAATGCAAACCACTATCTACATAGCAAATCTCTGAGTGATGAAGAGAACTTGAAACCATTCAGGAAATGTAATAATCCAAATGGCTATGGACACAATTAAAAAGACTTGATTCTGTTACAGGAATGGTTATGAATTTGACCATTTTGACCTCAGAAAACACTTGGAGATCATTCTGAAACCCCCTGATTGTATTAAAGGGAGTCAGATGTGCCATATTTTGCAGCCTTGTAAGCATGTCAGAAAATGCAGCTTTATAAAGAATTTGGGAAAACCTTCAGAAATTTCTTCCTGTGGGAGCTCTTTATAAAGCAAAAGTGGAAAAGAAAAAATCCGGAAGTGGCGCAGGCCCCACAACCGGACCCAAAAAAAAGCAAAAGTGGCCGGGAACCAGTAGCTCACACCTGTAATCCTAGTTACTCAGGATGCTGAGATCTGAGGATCATGGTTTAAAGCCAGCTTGGGCAGAAATACCCACGAGACTGTTTTCTCTAATCATTCATACAAAAAAATCTGGAAGTGGAGCTGTGGCTCAAGTGGTAGAAGCTTAGGAGCCAGCGCCACTTGCTCATGCCTGCAATTCTAGCTACTCAGAAGGCTGAGATCTGAGGATCGCAGTTCAAAGCCAGCCTGGGCAGGAAAATCCGTGAAACTCATCTCCAATAAACCACCAGATAAAAAACGGAAGTGGCAATGTGGCTCAAGTGGTAGAGCACTTGCCTTGAGCTAACGAGCTAAGGGACAACACCCAGGCCCAGAGTTCAAGCACCACAATCAAAAAAAAAAAAAAAAAAAAAAGCTTATGAACAGCACTCAAACCCTGAGTTCAAGCCCAGGACTAGCACAAAATTATAAGGTCTGCACAGGGACACCTCCCTCCCTCTTGGCTAAGTTTCGGTCCAGTATCTGTTACCTGGGTAACTGGCAGACCTGGAAGCAGTCACCTTTCCCTCTTGCTAGGTCACATCCTGGGCCACCTCTGGTCACAGGTCTCCTTACCTTAGGAGGGTCCCAGACCCTGAGGTCACATCCAGATCTAGTGTGGCCACACCTCTTCTTGTCCTTAGCATAGATAAGTCCTGGCTGAGGGGTGGGTGGCCCTTCCATTTTCAGCCAAGCCTCTCCACCATGCAAGGTGGGGGCAGCAGTTTGGTAAATAAACTTCTTTTCCTGCCTGAATAGGGCCTGGTGTACTCTTCATCAGCTACCTAATGAAGCCTACCCATATACCTTACAAAAGTAACTTAATTCAATAAAGTAAAAGTGTATGAAACTGACAATATTGTAGTCTATAAAGGACAGTAGTTCTTATGGTTAACATTGTAGAAAGACTTCCTTTTACATTTGAAAAAGATAATTTATTCCCTTAATATAATATATAGTTACCACATAATTGTTTTTCAGTGATGTATTCTAGAATGTTCTAAATCCTGTTAAAAATTTAAATGTTAGGCTGGGAAGGTGGCTCAGTGGTAGAGTGTTTGCCTTGCATGCCTGAGGCCCTGGGTTTGATTCCTCAGCACCACATAAGCAAAAAGAAAAAAGCCAGAAGTGGCGCTGTGGCTCAAGTGGTAGAGTACAGCCTTGAGCTGAAGAGCTGAGGGACAGTGCCCAGGCCCAGAGTTCAGACCCCACGACCAAGGCCCCCCCCCCCCCCAATTTTTTAAATGTTAAAAAATAAAACTTGTGGGGCTGGGAAGGTGGCTCAGTGGTAGAGCGCTTGCCTTGCATGCTCGAGGCCCTGGGTTCGATTCCTCAGCACCACATAAGCAAAAAGAAAAAAGCTGGAAGTGGCGCTGTGGCTCAAGTGGTAGAGCGCTAGCCTTGAGCTGAAGAGCTGAGGGACAGCGCCCAGGCCCAGAGTTCAGGCCCCACGACCAGACTAAAAACAAAAAAATAAATAAATAAAACTTGTAATGTATCCTGTCTTTTTTTTTTTTTTTTTTTTAAGTGTGTGTGTGTTTGTCCTGGGGCTAGAACTCAGGTCCTAGGTACTTTCCCTGACTTTTTTATGCTCAAGGCTAGCATTCTACAAGTTAAGCTACAGCTCCATTTTCAGCTCTTTTTTTTTTTTTTTTTTTAATTAATTGGAGATAAAGAGTCTCACAGACTATCCTGCCAGGGCTAGTTTTGAACTGTGACCCTCAGATCTCAGTCTACTGAGTGGCTAGGATTACAGGTGTTAGTCACCAGCACTTATTTTTTTTATACTGAGGATGGAACACAGGGCTGCTTTCTACCCCTGAACTACATCCCAGCCCTTTAGTATGTCATTTAGTTTTTTTTATGTAAAAGTAAAAATGACTTAATTTTTAGCAAAAAAGAGGGGATTTTTAAAACTGTTTGCAGAGAAAGCCTACCTCCAAACACATATGCTAACTGAAACAGATTATTCAAATATTTTGTCAGAAATTTTTATCAGACTGAAAATGATAGAATATTGATTTAAAAGATTAAAACCTGAAGAGGTGAGAAAATTGCAGGAGAACAAACACTTAACATTCTAAATTCATTTAGAGATGC